TCACCAAAAATAACTACAACAAAGAGGGCAAGGTGCAGGAATACAGTACATCTTTTCTGCAAGTTACCTCTAATCTAAATCACCTCTGTGGGACAGGAATGTTTGAAGTATAAGTAGCTGCAAGTTTTCCTTGGCAACATCTCTGAACAGGAGGGGGAATTAGGGCAGTTTGACTCAGTATGCCAGCTTGGTGCTGACTTTCCTCTGAGTCTTGGAAAATAGTTAAAATGGAGGTGAAGGGAGAAAAAAAGTCTATGAGGAACTGATACAATCTCAGAGACTAAAAGTTGAAAGAGGAAAGCTATATTATCTCTTCCTTTTTTTCTTCCTTAATGCTACAGTTTACTCACTGTATTTACACAGGAGGTCTTATGACGTTCTCCTAGCAGCTGAAATGGGAGGAACAGCTGTGTGCTGCTACCTGGCTGTCTCAGAGCATCAAACCAGGCCTGAACCAGGAGCGTGCAGAGACACTGCTCCTGTGTGCACACAGTTGCTTTATCTGCAGTAATTCGTTAAACTTCTCCTCACGTATTTTTAATGCTACTAATATTGGCTAGTATGGCAAGAGTAGTGTTTCTGTGGGAGCATGTCACTGTCACATCTGCTGTAAAGTCTGCTTGTGTACCCTGGTCCTATTGTCTGTGGTGTTCTGATGAACTAACTTCTGGCCCCTGCACAGAAGATGCTCCTCGTGAGTTTGCTTCAAAGGAGAGGTTTTTTTCCTATGGAACATGCAGGTGTGCTTTCAGCCTGACTAGTTTTAACTCCTAATAAGAACATCGTTACTTGGTTCGTGTCATGACCACAGACTCGTCTGCCATAGAGCTGTACACTTTGGAGACATGCCTTCTTCAATAGATAGAGAAGCAATCAGTACTACAATTCACATTTATTCCAGTAACAAAAGTGACAATTTAATTGTCAAATTCTCAGATAAAATGAATGGTGTGATTCATCTACAGAGCAAGATGTAATTGAATCGTAATGGTGAAAGCTACAGCTGCTCTGTGTAACAGCCCATCTCCCTGAGAAGCTACCTTTGGGTTTTTGGCTGCATGCTGACTGTGGGCTGCTGAGCTCTCCAGCTCTTTCTCCGGTTTGCCAAAATCTTAGTTCTTTTCTGGTTTGCACACCTGGTTTTCCTTCCCGTGACAGAAAAAGCAATGGCATATTCTTTAAACATGTATGTATGTAAACCCTTCGTATTAAAGGGTACACACAGCAGTTGAGAAATTGCCTACTTGTCATAGAATGGCTACGTACCTCTAGGTGATGTGAAGCTTCTACAAAATGTCACAAAAGGTTGCTTCCCTCTTAACAAACTATTTTTGTCTACACATTACTGGACAGTGTTTAAGAATCTTGTTTGAATCTTTAATTGAGTGTGATTTTTTCCTGAATACTACAGCTTCAATTTTTAAGCATAAAAGAATGAACTAGAGTGAATGAAATAACATTACTTGCTGTCATGGGGATTTACTGAGCTACCTGGAAAATCTTGCACATTTCATGTTTATCATTCTCCAGTATAAGAAGTATACAAAGCTGTAAACACAAGCATGGTCTTGAACAGTTTACATTTATACACATCTGTCCCAGTAGTGCAAAACAGCTCAATCCTATCTGAGTCTCAATAGATATGCAAACAAAGGAACAGGGAAATGCTACCTAAACAGTGGGAGCATTTCAGTACCAGCTTAACAAATAGCTTCAGCTCTGCCATTGCTGTGTTAGCAAACCATCAAATACCTGGAAGTAAACATTCTTTTATTTCATTCACTCTAGTTGTAAAATTTCAACTGTTGCAACTTGAGAAATTTGTCAACAAGAATCCTTCCAGTGCAGCCTTGCTAACGTGATTTCTTTCATGAACACTATTTGTTACCTGCTCCCCATCCACTTGGAGGACACAGTAGTACTTTGTCTTGGAGAAGCTTTCAATACACAGCAATAGGAATTTACACAACTTTGCACTGTACATGACAGTGTCAGCATGGTTCCTCCAGTGTATTCTACTAAAGCTCTGTGGCATAAAGTGGTAAGGAATCTTTTAATGAGAAGTTCTTGATGTCATTCTCCTGTGACTAACAAGAAAAATCTAGAGCTGTCGGTTTTTGCACTTATTTAATTCACGGGCAGGGAATTAATGTAAATATGTTACAGTGCAAACTGGCATTTTGATTTCCAGGCACAAATACAACCACAGCAGAGTTAGTAGGTTTTTTTAAGGGAAAAATGCCTCCTCCTCATCTGCAGAGAGCTTCTTCCAGCACCAGCAGCGAAGAGAATACAGATGTTGAGTGCTGTAATAGAGGTCAGAATGCACCTCGAGCTTTTACTTTTCCAGAAGTTTGAGTAGTTTGATTACTTAGCCTTTGCAAATGTGTAAGAATTAGAATTAAGAATTTTGCATATTTCAGTGTAATAATATTGAAAAGGTTTTGTCGACTCAGAAATTATGCAGGAGATGCTACTAAACCTCAAGATAACTGAGAGTTTAACAGTATAGCACATATGACTTTTCCCTCTTGTAATGGCTGACCTATTTTAGAAAGCTGGGAACTTAGATTTAGGTAATATTTTACAATAAATTTCTGTATAAGTAGCAAAGTGGTGCACAAGACATCTAAGACTTAAAAAATGCAATATCTGAATACTTCCCTATAAAAAAAAAAGTGTATCAATGAATTTGTTACTGACGCTGATCTACTAATGTAGACCAACTGAAGTCTATGTTTAGGCTTATGAGGAATGAACTACTCTGGCTTATTCACTTGCACATATTTTCTATGTAAATATGAATTTAGAAGTGCCTTCTGCACTAAGAAGGTAGAAGCACGTTCTACCTGTCAAGCGCTGACCTGGCTTGGTGGAAGTGGAACCTTTCTGCCAGGATCCACGTTGCAGGCTGAAGTGAGCAGTGGCTGTTCTCTTCCTGCAGGGCTGCCACGAAGGTGGTTGGGCAGAGTCACCACAATATAAAATAGCCTTGAAAATGCAGTATTCTAAATGTAGCTACAGCACTTGGCCACACAAAGGAATGTTTCTGCACAAAATTACAGGGCTTGTAGTATTTGGGAGGTCAAGTAGTTTTCCTCACTGTCCTTTTTCATCTGTGAAATACCAAACTAGACTGAATAATCTGATTTTTATTACTATTTTATTTCAAACCATATTTAATGTATTAATGTTTTTCCTGTAGCTGGGGACTGACCAAGAGGCTGCAAGAATATTTATTTTCTCTCCCTTAGTAGTTGTCATATTTATATTTTCCTCCATTATGATTATACTCAAAACAACTCTGCGTGGCTGTTTACATCAGTGCTGCCACTTAAAATAAAACCCACAAGTCAAAGAAGTTGGGGAAATGGGAAATCTGGGAGATGAGCTACTTTGGATATACTTCCATTCTGGCACTTTCCAAAGAAATTCTAATTCTGTTAATGAATTACACTGATGTCTGCTCATTGTTTTGTTCTTGTTTGGTTCTTGAAGTAGAACAGTGCTCACGAGAGCACCTCTCCCACTCCCTCAGAGGTGCGTTCTGTCCCTACCACGTGCACAGCCAAACGGTGCTGTCCCCTGGCAGGGTGTGTTGTGCCCACTCACCTGCAGGCAGCTGCAGTCAGTCTGGGCCATTTCTTGTCATTCTTGGAGAGCTACAGGTCCCAAGTCTGTTTCAGTTTAGATACGCATGTACAGGGACACTGCATTCCTCATTTCTGATTAATGGCTGTGTGGTGCTACATATAAATTCGTTTAAGAGTACAAGGTCTTATGAAGCACTCCATTAAGGCTGCACAGGAAATTCTAAAGCCAATTTGAGTTGACTTTCTGAAATGACTATAACTTCTATTTGCACATTCAGCTTTTAGACTTCAATCTTTTATGCTTTTCTGGAAAACAATTCCATCTGCGTTATGCACTGAGAGGATCCTAAGAAGCACATTCTTGCTCTGAGACAAACTTTACATGCAGTGTTTTCAGTGTGGTTATGTTAGGTAACAATGGAAGATGTATCACATGCACAATTCTTTGCTGCAGGAGTCATTGCAAAATTGCAAACCAGTAGACTTTATGACAGTTTTTGATGCTGACGTCAAAATCTGATTCTGAGTTACTAAGTTTGGAAAGCAGTATCCATACACCTGCCTGCCCTGAATAGTAGAAGACTTACACAGATGTTTCCCAGTGTTTTCTTGAAACCATATACACAGTGTAAGAAATTGGAATGATCCTCCTTCTAATTCACCTCTGACACTGTGACAGGTTCAGACCAAGGCAGCCTGCTGGAGGAAGAGTTCTGCAGCCAAACTCCTGCAGTACTCAGTGACAGCCACCAGCGGATCTCTGCATTCCTTGAGATCTTGCTACTTTCTTGTGAGTTTAACAGAATCCTCTGGCTTAGAGGTAAATCCAACACTGATGTACTTCCTCATCTTCCTCTGCCTTCAGCCTCTGTGAAGGAGGTTAACTCTGTGGAAACAGCACTAGGAGCACCATCAATATTCATCCTGTCTAAACGAGGATGAAACACACTTGAGGACAGAATAATGCAAGGTGTTTATTGCATGCTTTTCTAGCTGAGCCAAATACTGAAAGTTACCAAGGCATTGGTAAGTACAAATGACTTCTAAATTCACTTGCTTCAAAGCCAGCTTTCCAGTTACACAATTATCAGATGGTTCTTAGTTTTCTTGTTTTTTCAGCTGTCCGAGTAAACTGACAAAACTGTGTGTGATGGTGGCTTTTTTTTTTTTTTTTTTAAGCAGTGATGAAGAAGGAGTTGTGTGTCTTAGATGCAAAACGGGACCTCGGTAATGCCAAGTGTGATGATCAGGTGTTCCCTGAGGGGTTTGTGTGTTCCCAAAGCAAACTAGGTGGAAAAAATGGAGAAAAAGGCCGGTGGCATGTATGAGCACTGCACCACTGCAGTTGGTAGTGGAGCTGTATGAGCTGCTCCATGGATGACCTTTTGTCTCTTCCTTTCCTTTCAGGTGCAAGTGGGAAGTACACCTCAGGACCAAAGAATTGTGGGATACATTTCCTGCACTCACTTGCAAGCTATTGCAGGTACTGTCCTAATTTGCTTCTCACAATTTGTCACTTTTCTATGCTAACAGTGGCACTGTGCAAAACCTGCCAGCATTGCTCATCCAGTGTTTTCCACAAAGAGCAGTGTGCATTGAGGACAATGGTGAAAGAGCGAAGAAAGGAAAGTAGACAAATACTTCACAAAATCTTTGCATTTCTTTCTTGGAGTAATTAAGTATTACAATATAAGCACTATAAAAAATCCCTTGAGAACTTTTCTTCCCTTTGCTCTCTTGACCAAATACCATTATTTCAGCAAATGCATTACTGTCACCATTAGTTGCATTTATGAACCCATATGGTGGCTACCAGTGTACAAACAAAAGTTATGCAAGCAGAAATCAGAGGTTGAAAGAAGCCTAAATTCCCTGGTTTTACCTGCCAATTTCATACATAAACAGCTAGCAAGTCAACACTGTTGTTGAAAATTTTTCTTAGATGTGTTTCAGAAGGAATCCCACTGTTATATTCGTTACAGCATGAACCAGCACATTATGTCTCCTTTGTTCTGTGAAACAGCATTTTCTAAGATCCATAAGGATAAGATGCCACAACACTTAAGTGGGGTTTGGAAGGATTTGTTAAGAATCCTCACTGAATTAACAAAAAAGAACGAGATGTTCTTTAATAGCAGATGTCTGACTGTGAGATATGTGGATTCCACTGTTCATAATAAGCAGACTGGAATTTCATGTAGGTCATCAGGTCGTGGCTGGGCTTGTTTCCTCCTTAACCATCGCAAACCTTTCTGATGATAGCACTCAACACTTGGCTCTCCTCCTGTCAGTAGGCAGAACTAGACAGTGACCTTATCTCCATTTTACAAACCAACTCCAGGAAGAGAGAGCAGGAAAAGTTAGTAACTTCTGGTAGTTCCGTTTCATTTTTACTGTTCTTACACATATGTTTTGAAGTGAAGTTTCTCCATTTTAGCTGTTGGTCTGAACACTTGTTAATTAAATGTCTATGGAAAATATTCCACATCTCTCTCCTATCTTAGCATCAAAACTATTAGTTCCAGACTTCACAACAGGTGTAGTAATGAAGTAACAGTCAAATCTAAAAGCCTTTGCTTTGTGCAAAGGGAGGAATGCAAACACTTAGTTTTACTCGATGTGATTCTTGGGCTCCTGAGTGAGTGCTGCAGAGCACCAGGCAGCCCTCCTGGACTAGCTGAAGACAGAATGTATGCTGCAGGTTGAGACAAGGCAGAAATGCAACGTGAACAGCAGAACTTTGAATCTGTGCTCTACAGTATGTCCAGGTTAGCCCAAACAGCCACCATTCCCAGGGCGTTAGAGAGACGGAGAGTTTTAAAGAAGATTCATGAATTTTTCAAACACATTTTAACAGTGTACCGTTGTTCAGTTTTCTATTTCTAACTCTGGAATTATGGTAATGCACGGTGAGATTGCTGTTGTAGAGCTGAAGATTGTTGCTGCTATTGTTTGTGTTATAAGCCTCTGGTTTTAGTCCAGTTTCTTTTTGCATGTTTTCTTAGCTATAACCACATTATGACATCACTAAAATACTAAATAGGAATGGGAGAGAAAAAAAATATGTATGTATTGGGAAGTTAACATTCTTTTTTACTGTCAGTCTAAAGCTTCTCCAAATCCAAAAAAAAAAAAAAAGTAATTTTACATTTTCCTATTTATGTTCTTGCTTTGTATTTTTATGCTTATCTGGCTCAAGCAACGTTCAGATAGAACAGACAAGGATCTAAGAGTCTAAATGTCCTTTGATAAATCATATTAGTTTATGCAATGAAATAGAAAACTAAAGTTCATAACAGTTTGGCAGAGCTGCACTTCAACGTGTATCATCTGATTCAAGACATTTCACACATTTAAAAAAATGTCAAAAAAACCCTCAGGTTCAACTGTGTAAAGCTGTGTTATCTGTAACAAGAAGCACTGCTTAAAAGGTTAACCATTTAAATCATCTTGTCACACGACTGGGTGCAATTTAGCTTCCCCTCTAGGATACACAAACTTGTGCTTGACAGTTGTGGTACTTACATGAGTATAAAATGAAGGGATGCAACTGTTCATGGTCAGAGAAGAACTAATGCTTTTTTTTTCCTAAGAGATGTGCTAGCTAAACCCTGTTCCAAGCAATTACAATTTGTTCAGAGCTGACTTTCACCTTTTTCACTAAAGCTTTAGAAATAGATGTAGATTAATCTAACCTCTCAATTCCGTACCTGTTCCTGAATGTTGTTACGAAGGAGCTTTTCCATTTCTGCTCTGGAAATAGCTGCATTTCAGTGACAAATGAGGGGGTCCTTAACGAGTCTAGAATGTTATTTTCCAGGGGGCTGTTAACTTTACGTGGTTTTTCTATGTTTTTCAGTTAGTGTTTAATGTTCTGGGAAGATTTTGCTGCCTAGAATCTACCTACTTCCCAAGTCCCTTTGAGTCATGCCTTTTAGACGTCCTACCAAGAGACTGAATGGAGGGAGCCTCAAGCTATTGCAGCCCAGGTGCAGATAATATGTGCTGGATGCTCTCTCATAAACTCAGACTTGCTTCTTTTTTTGCATTTATTGCAAATCCAGTCTTTGGCATGTGCTGGCAACTCAGACCTTTCCAGAACTGGCTTTACCAATCCATATGTAGCTTAAGCAGAACTCAACTCGAGAGTGAGAGATCTCTCAGTGTTTGAAATCATGGCTTGTGATCAACAATGTCTCTGGTGTTAAGCATCCTTAGGCAGTGATTCTATATACATTTCCGAAGCAGCAAAGCTAGTTTATGCACACCATGTCAGTGTACCCTTGCCTTTCCTCTCATTTACACTATCAGCTGTTACAGGCTGTGCTGTACTTGACTGGGGACCTTACCTAACTGCAGTCTAAATGAGCAGAACAACAAGGTTCTTTTGTTGCTGTTGCTGTTTTGGTGTTTTTTTGTTGTTGTTGTTGTGTTTGCTTTCCCCAGCTCCTTCTGGCTTGGATAGATTACGCAGGGCAGCTTAGTTCATCTCACAGTCAGCATGGCACAGCCTGTCTCGTGGCTAAACTGGGTGGGTCCTTTGGTTGTGACTTGGAATCCATACTCCCTTTGATTATGCTTCACATCTTACATTTTCTTTTTTTGCTCATCTTCTCCAGCACTGATCACTGCTGAGAACTGTTTTTAAAAGCTTGCACTTGCAATCTTCCCATTTCAGTCCCTGGCTGGGCTATCAGCTGCTTTGTTAATTCTCCCTAGTGCTCCTTACAGCTTTCTGAGGAGGACAAAGCAGTTCTCCTTTGGCACCTCCTTTTGCAGTTCAAACTAAAGCCAGATTTCACATAATCATTTCAGATGTGAATGAAATGGGCAGCTATGATTATCCTACAACGAACGCAGGTGAAGTATTTGTTTATGCTAGCTGTGGTTTCTCATAATACCCTTTCATCCTTCCATGAAATCTGAAGCTGAAGGGAACTAGCAAAGAACTGGGAAATGCTGACTGCAGGAACCACTCACCACACGAATACTTGCAGTTTTCCAGCCCAGTTACTGAGGAAAAGGTTGTAGAGCAATTAGCACAAATCTGTATTCTCTGGTTAATCACTGGTGGCAGTCAATCAGATCAGTGATTCTATCTGAACGTTTAATTACAGGGGAAGGCTGGAAGAAGGAAAGTGGAATGTCATATTGGGGAGATATTTCCTAGTGCCTTCTGTTAATATTAACCAATGCTGTTTCAGTGCAGCAGCAGGCAGGCTCTGAAGTGTTGTTTTTTTTCAATGACTGTTCTGGACTCAGGCTTGGCTTCTCCTCTACTTCGGTGTCTAACCAGGTCAGTTACCTTCATCTCCAATGCTACAGATCACTGGGAGCTGTTAAGACTCAGTCTCACTAGGAAGTTTTGCACCCAGATATGATCAGCACCTGCTGTGTAGCTACAGGAAGGCAGACAACATTAGTTTAATGCTAATCTCAGAAAACAGTTATATTCAAGTTGTGTTTAGGGGATTTTTTTGTTGGTAACAGAGCTGTAGCTCACTTCATTGCACACACTTCACTTCATGTGCTTAAGTGCAATTGCTTCCATGACCTCTAGTGGGGAGAACCAGAGATGTCAGAGAGGGGAGAAACGGAGATAGACTGTCACAGGTTCTGAACTTGCTCTATTTCTAGAGCTGCAGTGCTTTCTTCTGTGGTTTTCCGGCGTACGGTGCTGCTCCGAGGCTCGTGATTGTTAACAAGGAAGATGTATGTCACTGTGCAGCTAACGCTTTTTTAGTAATGATGGGGCATGCTGCCTGTTGTCTTTCACAACGTCTTCCTGAAATGTTTTTGCATGTCTTTCTTCTATGTTTTTCTCAATAGTTTCCTGTTTTGGAGAATTTTGCCTCTTTGTGTCTATTAAGTGGGTTTTATGTTTAGTAAGTGACTTTGCTGTGTTCTGTTTCAGGTTGTTGTCATAGTTTTATACCCTCATTGGTAGTGGCTGTATTATCTGATCACTCATCCTAAGCGAAAATATGCCAGATAGATACTTCCAGAAAATGCAAACAGGATTCTGACAATTCAGGGATCAATTAGACAGCTCTTAGACAGCCAAGTAATATAAAATCAGGACTTTGTGTAGAACAAAATAAGTTACTGTAGTCTTGTCATTACACACCAAGCTAGTAGTTGCAAGGCAGGCCAGAAGAGGTTATCTCTCTCTCCTTAGAGATAAGCTAGGATAGAAAGATGCAGGTGATGCAAAAGGAGGGTCTGTGAGTGTGAATAAGCTTCGCTATGAGAGAGATGGCTCTGGAGGGATCTTTAATTAATGTGCATGAATGGCTGATGTGAGGGTGTAAGGAAGACAAAGGCAAGCTCTCCTTGGTTGTACCTAGTAACAGAACAAGAGGCAATGAGCACAAACTCAAATGCAAGAAAGAGCATTTAAACAAAGCAAAACTCCTTTATAGTGAAGGTGACTGAGCACTGGAGCAAGCTGCCCAGAGGCTGGGGAGTCTCCATCCATGGAGACACTGCAAGCCCAGCTGGACAGTTGTGAGGGGCCTATATGTGAGCATGCTTGGGCAGAGCCCATGGACTAGATGGTTACCAAAAGGCCCTTGCAACTTCTTCCTTTCCCTGAAGCTGCATCTTTAGTTAAGCAGAATGCAAACGTTAGTCACGCGCTCTGTTTGTAGTTAGTTGCTATCACCTGCTGTGGGCTGTATTTGTTCCATGTGACCTACTTCTTGTGCTTTTGTCTAAATACATCTTAACTGTCGGGTTTTCTTGTGCTCTGTAGTATACTGGTATGCACGATCAGCAAATATGTCAAGTGCACTTCTGCACTGTATGTGCACTGTGGTAGCAAGGGGGTTTTCCAAGAATTCAGTGGACTGGATTTGTGTCAAGCAGTGTGATTAGGGTATTATCTGAACGTTACGTACAAGTGCTAGAAACTGTAGGTCAGGGAATAGTTCCAAAAAGCTCTTGTATGAATTTGTGTATTACAGCCCATCTGCTACAGATTTGTTGGGAATACCTGAAGATTAGAAGGAAAAAAAATCAGATTATTTGTTGTTTGAATTAACAGCCTGAAGAGATGAGTCACGGTCAGAACCTACTTGAAGGTCTCTTTTCCTGGTCATGTTCTTTTCAATATTTCATGTATTTATTTAGGATTGTATCAAACCACACTTGGTGGAAAGTTTTTGATTCTGTTTGCATTTAACTATCACTTTAACAGAGCCTGCCCCCAGTATTCTGGAAAGTTCAACCACTCCCAGGTTAACTGTGTTAGGAGAATGAAGGTCTGGTGACTGAAATCTGTGTGCTAATGCAGTTACAGCATGTTGCAGAGTTCACATTTTAAAAGCCTATAAAGTGCAGGTGGCAAGCTCAGGTAAGATGACTGATTAACAAGCTGTGAGGATGCAGACTTAAATACTCACGATCTCCACAGTGAATCACCATTGAAAGTGGCTCTGGACATACATAACTGATGTTCCTAATTGTGACTACAACATTTTAACAGCCATCACAGGCTAGCAAAGTAGAATCATTTTGGTTAATGGTCTGTAGGTTAAAAGAAAATTCTAATAAGAACAAGTGACTTTGGCTCACTGTTTTTGCTTATGATTGTGGAATTTGAAAACAAATCTCTTTGAAGAGATGTCCTGAATCAACATCATTTCATGTCTGAAACAAGCAAAGTTGTAACTTCATGACACGTACAGTGAAAACAAAAGGAAAGGAAAGGTAATGTAGTAAACAATTATTCCTAGAATGTGTCTCTTCCTACTTCTTTCCCCCTATAAAGCTTTCACTGATTCTCTTAAAATGGTTACAGTGATTAATTCTTTCTTAGACTTTGTCACCTAATGTGCTTGAAATTAAGGGTAGGTCGTTGCCATAATTAAAAGAGCTGGTTTGTGTCAGTTTCACAAACAAAGAGCGTTTGGCAACCAATCATCCATGTCACTTATAAACACAGGGGCACAACTTCAGCACTCGTAGTCATAAGATAACTTCCCTGCAGCCAGTGAAAAGGATCTGACTGTTCATTTCTGAAGTACAGCCTACCTGAGGTACACATGTTGTACACAGACCTTTAGAAGTATGAAAAAATACTTTCAGCTTAGTAATTCTTACTTGAACATAAACAGAACCCTTCCTTGGATGGATTACTACTGTATGAGTAAATTGAATGTTGACGTATAAATCCTAGTAACATTTGAAAGTTAGATTTTTCATTTTTTAAATTTAGAAAGCAAAGAAAGATCAAGTGGTTTACTGCAGAACATGCTGCCCAGACTTGGCCAAAGGGTGATATTTATTCTGAATTCCCAATCATTAATTTAGCGTATCATCTTCCACTTGTGGCCAGGAACATGACTGTTGGTCAGTTTCCTGCAGCACAGGTGTCCTGTCTTCCTGTTTGTTCAGGAGTGCCTGTTATGATTCCAGAAGAAGATATTTGCATCATCAAAACACGGTTCCTAACGAACTCCATTCTGGGCTAAGCCTTATGTAATGAGTATGCTATTATTCATGCCATTTTTTAATTTCACACCTTTTTTTCTCAAGATGTCTAACAACAGCATAGCAAATAATATCACCATATTATTAATTACAAAAATGTGTCCACGCTTAAACAACTACAGAAGTTGTTCACCCGTTAGTACTATTTCAGAAATTTGACTTTTACTGAAGTGTTTGTAAAGATTCTTGTGACTTCTATCTGCTCATACTGTATCAGGTATCCTACAGAAAAAGCTGGTTGAAACCACGTAACTAAGACACTTCCCTACACAAATTCATATGTGCAGCGTTTCATAACCGAAGGCTGGATTTTCATCTGTTGTTATTCTATGTAAGAATTTTGAATACACCTAATTGTATAGGTGAAATTCCTTTTATTGCAGAAAGGCCCTGCAAGGCTAGCATACCACTTACACCTCTCATAAATCTGAGGCTTCAAATGGCCTTGTCTAGGCTCAGTGATGCATGTGCTAAGTTTGGTGGGGTTCTTTCCTTATTTTAAAGAGAAGGCGCTCCTTTAATTTTGTTGCCTCTGTCTGCCCTGCTGAAGGGATTATGTTTGATGGATAGTAGAGAAAATGAGATCGGAATAGCTGTACGTTATTTTTCTCTTCCTAGTTTGCTTTAATCTCAATATCCTCTAAGTGAAACAGGTAAGATTCTGACCATGCTCTGCTCTGTCTGCTGGGCCATAGCAATGGCCCTAGTGATTTTGCTGGATGCACCACAGGCATGCAATGTTCTGAGTGTCACGCTAAAAGAAAGGCCTTATTTCTTGACATTTCTTTTTTCCTTTGCAGGAGACACTACTGTTCGATGTGAGCAACTGGATATGCTTCAAGATTGGCTGTCTGAATTCAGAAAATCTACCTCCTCCTCCAGCACAGCCAATCCAGAGGAGCTGGTGGCTTTTGATGTAATTTGCGGAGATCTCAACTTCGATAACTGCTCCTCTGGTAAGATAAGCTTTGCCTTTTCCTTGCGTGTGCCTAATCCGACATGGGATAGCAGAGTTCTTGATACATTCATTCTGTGGGTTACAGCAGTGTACTAACTAGTGACTGGCTTGTGCAAGGGAAGGCTTAAGAAACGTCTTAAGATAAGTCTTGTCATGAGCCAAGAACAGCAGCTTACGTAAATTCTGCCAAGTTATTAAACATGATGGTTTTTAAGGCACAAACGGCAGCAATTTGCAACTTGTTGCAGTAGCAACAGTGAGAAGAATCTAGTTGTTTGATGTTACTTGTGTGAGGTAAATGTGCTAAAACACATCACATAATTTCAGTTATTAATAAAAGGGGTGCGTGCTACAGGATTTTTGCAGGAAAAAAAAATCTTGCAATTAATAGCCTTTTGATTGTGCATGTACACAGATGCAAGAGATTAATGCCCCATAGAGAACTCAACATCACTAAATCGATCTTGGAAAAAATTAATGGATGGCTGTGTACCTTCCATGGCTTTTATTTGAGTTGAAATTGTTTTTATTGCGAGTTGAAAAACAAAGAATTTTAAATGTTTTCTTCTATATTTGGAAGCAGGGGGCACTGGAAAAAAGAACACCAGAGAACCGTAATTAATGGCTGGTGAATTTACAGACAGCAGCCTTTTCAAACACAGATAGTATACTGTTAACAGTTATACAGCCAACAGAGTGGTGCTATATCATCTCTGCTTCCCTCTTGGTACAGTTCATGCATCCAGCAGAGTTCCTTGCTTTATGCAGTGGCAATGAACTACTGGTTTGCAGCCGGCATGTGGATCAGCAGAGCTGACGGCTGCAAGGCCAGCTGCATGACTGGGCCAGAACTGAAGTACTGAGATAAGAGCATAAGCCAGGTAGGTGAGGGGGTGTTCAGTCATAGAGATTTCATCTGTGCACTGCGTTACAGGGTGCAGAGTACAGGTAAGCTCAAGCTGCAGCTTTCAATTGGGGATTCAGCAATTAGAAAAATAAAATTGTGTGAGAAGGAAGGGACTCCTAAAGGCCCTCTGGTCCAGCTCCCTGCAGTGAAAAAAGACATATACACATCCAGGCTGGATGTGGCTCTGGGCAGCTTGGTCTGGTGGTTGGCAGCCCTGCACATAGGAGGGGGGTTGAAACTGGATAATCATTGTGGTCCTTTTCAACCCAGGCCATTCTGTGATTCTTTGAAATACGGCTCGATCATGTGCTCAGAGCCCCATCCAGTCTGACCTTGGGTGGCTCCAGCAATGGGGCATCAACAACATATCTGAACAACCTCTTCAGACTATTGAGTTTGTAGATTAGCAGGTGAATATGTGATCATCATCACACGTGAATTCTGTAGTCTTCATAAAAAGCCTAGGTAATTGGGACAGAGAGGAACAACTACTCCAATAATTTACAACAAAATAAAGCAAAATAAGCATTGTCAGATCATAAAAATAGGTACCATTCTCTCATCTCATGGCTTGTATCAGATACTTGTAATGGAAGATTTTAGCGAAGTCAGAGAAACAATTAATTGAGAAGAGACCACCAACCCAAAACAGCCTTACTGTTCATTTCCAGCTCATCGGTACAAAAAGTAATTTAATCACAACTATGTGATCTGAAATAAACTCAGAACGGCTGGAGGAGGTGTTCCAACTCCGAATCCATTACGGGTAGTGGAAATGAACAGTAAGCAGAAAGTAAACAGAATGCTGCAGTGAAACCAAGTTTTTCAGGACAATACAAAGGTAGCAGGAGTTGGGAAAAAAGGAGGAAATTCAGTCAGTAACAGTCTTCAGCTAGGCACGCTGCTTCAAGAGAAGGCTGAAGAGGTAACTGGAGCAGTCCCAGTGAAGGGAGACAGGAGCTGGGGGATACAAATGGGCACAGCTACTTCTGTTTGACTGCAGTTCCAGCTGCAGTATTCTTGGATGGATGCAACGGCTGAAGGCAAATACATCCTTCAAGGAAATAAACTATCTTCTGCATACCAAAGGGGATCCTGCCCAGTCAGACTGTGATAGTCCGCATAAGGGGCCATATAGCATGAAGAGAAAGACGTGGGTGAAGCTGTGAGGTAATGTGTGTGCTCAGCATCCTCTGACTGAGTAGTTCTGGTACTCTAACCAATACCTTGAAGTACAAAGCAAAATTAGTGCCTTTGTGACTTGTCTTTCTAAGGCAAAAGAAAACACAACTATTTGTTTTTGCAAATACAGTTGTAAATGTTGCAACTAATAATAAAGACACAATTAAAACATAGCTTATAAGAATGTTTTTGTTATCTGTAACTTATTCATACTCTGTTTTCCTTTAAAATTCACTTGGTCTGGGAAGTGAAATTAAGCTGGCTATTTGTTATTTGTAGATTGCTTTGCTTCCTTATGCACTAAGCAAGATTAATGCAGTGTTTTAAAATTGGCATGTATTCTTGTCCATTTTACATTACTCATTGTTTTAAGGACATTCGTTAGGATTGCAGCAACTGAACTGCTGGGTTTTTCTGCCTTCAATAATCAGCTTTCTGTAATTCTGGGTATGGGTTGTTTTTGGTGTTCTTTCCCACGCCACAGATTGATACAGCAAATAATTAACGTTGTTGCAGTGAATATCAAGCTTCTATTCTTAGATGTATTTACAGCACAGTTTTCATAGACCTCTAGGTTCATGAATAACCTTATTCTTTTGACAAATATTCTGAAACTAAGTTCTCCCTCCTAGCTGTGGGGAACGATATCACAAATAGAGAATTCTCACTTACTTGAAACACCTTCCTGTCAGGTTCGTCTCACCAGTGTACAGTTTGATTGTTTTTGACCTTTTAGTTTATCATAAAAAACCATTCCAGTCAGATGAGTCCAAGTTTGTCTCATCAGCTCTGACTTCTATCAGTGCCACAGTGGCAAACTGATCCTGGCAAAATTTTAGCCTGTCTTATTTTTGAAGTTTGCAGCCATATGATATCACAAGGGAAAGCCCAAGGAAATAAGCAATTGCACAGACTACATTCTAGACTCTTCCAGAAAAATGAAAGAAACCAACAAGCCAATTGGCTGTTCAGACTGAAAGAACAATTTGCTGCATTGCACACCTGACAAGTTTTTAGGAGGTCAGTCCTTCAATCCTCTGCCCAGGCTCCAAGATATCCTTGTACAGTCTCCTTGCAACTGTGAAGTAATCTTGAATGTAGAGAGCTGATTAGATGTTGGGGAAAAAGCTGGAATCATGTAGTGAGGCTCATCAGCTGGGGTGGATGCATTCGCTGAAAGACCATCAGCTGTGTTAATCACTCTTAATGTCAAAATGAGAAAGTGCTATGGACACTCAGTATTACTGTACTCCACACTGCCTCCTGTGTTGTGCTTCCTCCTTAACAGGGAGAGGTTAACAGCTCCTGTATCAGGCAAGAACACTATTTTGCAAATGGAGAACCAATTTGATTCCTACGGTGTGTAAGCTGCCTTGTCTCTAAATATGCACAGCTCACAATTCAAAAGTTTCTGACTTTAGGGGTCCATTCTCATGCCTACTTTCATACTCTGTAGTCTTGCCAATAGTCAGTGGTAGCAGCAGCAGCTCCAAATGCAGGTGAATATCCACCAATCCCAAGAGAAGACTCTGTGTTGCTTAGAAATTTTACACAGAATCACAGAATTGTAGGGGTTGGAAGGGACCTCCAGAGCTCATAGAGTCCAACCCCCCTGCCAAAGCAGGTTCCCTACACCAGGTCGCACAGGTCGGCATCCAGGCAGGTCTTGAACATCTCCAGAGAAGGACTTTAAGCTTGTAAAAGGTGGAAGTGCTTCGAGAAAGGAAGTAATTGGGACCTATTGCCAGTTTCTTTGCTATTTAACAAAACTGGAATTGCAGCAGCTGGTATTTTCAAGTTCTGATTGTACTTGCTCCTACGTACAATGATCACTATGTTATAGTGATAGGGCGCACAGAACTACAACTCACTTATTTTTATACTGAGCTTCTGAAATTGTAATGTATGTATTTTTCTAGGGCTACTGTTAAATTTAGTGATCCTAGGAGCTTGATGCACTGTTGGGCTTTAAACGCAAGAAACAGAGTAGCAATTAACAAGAGATTAATTTGAAAGCTGAGAGATCATGATGATTATATTTAGAATGTCTTTAATGCTTCAGATGATATCTCAAGTGAATTATCAATTGCCTGTCCTTTGTCTTACTATTACAGCTTGAAACACATTCAGTCAATTCTTCTGAAGCAAGCACAGCACTAACTTTCATCTCCAGATTTACTGAGGTGTATATATAAATCCCCAGCAGCCACCTACTGCGCCATTATGAAGTCAGTCCAAATCTCTGCATCATCTGATCTCAACAAAAGTTTTCTATGAGTATAAGCATATACAGTGCAAACACGAACGGCAGAGTAAGGCAATGTGTCAGGAAACCTTCAGTTTAGAAACTAATAAATACTATCTTTTGTAGATAGACTTGGTAGGAAAACAGACATTAATTAGCAGCATTTGTTGGAATTTCTGGTTAAGACAGGATATTGCTGTGCAGTAAAACTGCCAAACTAGTTCAACCAGTTCTCTAGAAAATGCTGAATAGGAAGGAAGGCTTACCTTTTATTTTGCAGTAGAACATACAAACAATTGTCCACAGGCTTACAATACACAGCTGATGTCCCTTTTCTTGTGCTTCTTTCCCTGCAGAGGACAAGCTGGAGCAACAGCATTCTCTGTTTACACACTACAAAGACCCATGTCGAATTGGTCCAGGGGAGGATAAACCATGGGCAATAGGTAAGATATTCTCTAGCCATCAGTGTATCAGCTCTTGTCTGTCACTCACAGAACACCTATCAGCAGCAGGCAGTACAGCTAACTGGCAGTAACTGTTTGACTAAGACCAAATATTTGCAAGGAGTTTATCTCAAAGGCAGCAGCATGTATTCTGTAAATCTTAACAATGTTTTGTTGAATTTTAATTTAGAAGGAAATAGACATGTCAAACGAGTCCAGTCTAGAGCTTATGCATCAAGCCACTTGAATGCCCTCCTACCCTTACTCTACTTTTTAAATAATATCTAGATCACTTTGCAAAGAGAGCAAAATTATTGTTTCTGTGTTTTCTGTATGCAGTGAAAAGGTGCACCTTTTGATTAGAGTTGTCTGGTGTTACAGAAACATTGTGAGGATGTACTAGTAATTCAGCAATGTTAGGAACTTGTAGGGCTCACCTTATATAAGATTTCACAGAACTCAGATACTCAAGCATGCTGAAAGTCAGATGAGCTCAGTACAGTTTTCAGTGAACAAACAGCTTTTTTTCCTATAGGAGCAATTACAACTGTGAAGATGCTAAATATAAGAATTTGGGACTACTTATTGATGTGGTTTTACTCTGTTGTAACAGAAAAGAAGTTTCTCTGCCCTTTAAACTCGAAAGGCGCAGACAATATTGTGAAAGGTTTAGAGAGAGAAGTTGCTTTTAAAGACTAAGCAAAGGCTCATCTAGAGTGTAAGTAACGAACAGGCCAGTTCCTCATCATTAGAGCCAATTATCTTTTGCTAATTTCTTGTGCATCTGGTTTGAAAATAGGATACAAGAAAAAAAATTAAGGCAAAAATTAGTAAGGAACAGGAGACAGCAACAGGTAAGAGTAAAGTTCAAGTTTTGATTGGAAAGCCTACCAGGAAAACAGAAGAGACTTAACTAAGCACTGTGCTGTAGGTAAAGTGGAAAGAATAACGTATGGAGGGAGACAGCAAAAGAGAAGGTACTAAGTATTGTCATCCTCACTGTTACAAAGTGTATTATTACGTCTGTTCTAAAAATAATCTCTCAGACTGAAAGCATCATTTAGTCTGGCGTGAGATGCAGCCTCTGTAATAACTGCTATGGATACTACTTGTGTAACACAGAAGTGAATATAAACAGTGTTTTCAAATCAGAACAGAGTTGTCCCCCATCCCTGCCACATACACTGTCCTCAGATGCTTTTTGAGAGGCACGTGCTGGGACAGTCACATTTCCCTTTCTGTCCACAGGTACCTTGCTGGATCCTGAAGGATTATATGATGAAGAAGTGTTCACTCCAGACAACCTACAGAAGTACGTAACTCCTGGTTCTCCCACATATTCTAAACAATTCTTTAAAAAGCCAGTTCATTGCTTGCTATTTAACATTTCATAAATTGTGGTGTTTTTGGACTGTAACATACATATATAATTTTTTTTTAACTATGGAAGTCTTGGGGTAGAGGGAAGAAAGGGAAGGAAGAACTGCTCCTTCTCAAAGCCAGATAGAATTGGCTTCAGTGGGTGAAAAGATGAGAGCAACTGCTGTCAGTGTGTTTTGTTTCTAGAGTTAGTCCTACCTGAACAGGTCCGTAGGAGGAGGAACTCTGAGCACTGCCAAAAAGGGCATGCAGGCAGCTTGTCTGAAGATCTCTCTACAGGCAGTCAGTTCCATGGCAGTGGCACTGTAAAGGACAGAAACAAAAGTGAAATGTAATTTTCCTCAAATAAATTTAAAAAGAAAAAAAATATCATAAGGTTTGAAACAACCCATTAACTAGAAAGCTTGCAAATCTCAGTAAGCTCACTCAGCAAGCTCACAAATATAGAGAGAGGAATCTATTAAAAACAAAAACATCAGACATAACTAGGAATGTAACTGACTGTCCTTCAGAAATGCTAGTACAGCACTGCTTTGGAAGAGTTCAGTACTTGTTTTGTGTTAGGGGAGTTCCACCACATACAGAAACCCTCTTAATTTGTAAGAGCCCTAAGCTGAACTTTTTGATTACCTATGCATTAATATTATGAATATGAATTACCTATGCTGAGTAATATGCCAGTGGAAAGAAATTAATTAGCTTTGTACACTTTAGAGCTGCAGTTAATGATGCGCTCAGCCTTTGTGCACCTTCTCTGCCTTCATAGCCAGTTTCATGGACAAAGTGTATTATCACCATGACTAACTACAGAAGATGTCCTAGCATTTTGTTATGAGAATATACTGAAGAAGTTAAGATATCTGAATGAATAAGTGTGCAGATTCTTCAATTAGTGCATGCAGAGGAAATGGTGCAGCCCGCAGGCACAATTCACCTCGGTGCTTTTATTCAGAAGTGCAGTGCATGGTATCGATGGACGCTCAGGTCAAGGCCACCCCGAAGTTTTCCTCTTATCAGTTTTAAACGTACATCTATTGTTTATTGTTATTCCCTTTCTAAGGTCTTGGTTTCGTTTATATTCAAAAGATAAGGATTCCTTACACTCAGTCCTATTTTACACATTCAAAAACCTGCAAAATTTCTGGACATTTCTATTCACATGTTAAAAAACATGAATTTAGTACAGGATTTTGGGTAAGTAAAAGGTAATTTGGCCTCTACAATCAAGTTTGCAAATGCAAATCTGTATGTGGGAGTAACATTCTATTTTATGGTTCCAAAAGCAGGCTTGGAGCTCTTTAAAAAATAAAAGGATAAAATCTGTGTTTTCAAGCAGCTTTTTGAGCCAATCTGTCACCAAATTAATTTGGGGATATTTTGCTTTATTCCCTTACAAGTTACTTGTAATTAAATTCCACTGACGTATCCAAATGATAGACAAATAGCCATTAGATGACCCACAGAGATTGAGAATGTTACTTGTACTTCCTAAGTGTGTATACAAGGCTTCAGCATGAGATAACTGGAAAACATTCTCAAATTCTGGTAACAGAACATACGTTAAGACTTTCTGACTACTAAAAGTGGCATTCAGTTTTCTTCAATATATGACAATTCTTTTAAACCTATGAAAAAAGCAGTAGCTTCTTATGCACATCTGCAGGATAATGAGGATCTGAATGTGTAAATTATGTAGATGTGCTTTGATATTAGAGAAACAGTTGCTTCTGCAAGAGGCCAAGACAGCCTGTCTTCTCATCCCTGCGAGGTACTGGTAATTGCAGTTGTAGAAATTACCAATAAATGCAGCTAAATTCAAAGTCATTCATGAAAGCCAGCCTTAAAAACGTTGGAAGCATTTTTAAAGTGTCTTTCCAAACATTTAAATGAATTACTTAGAGACTGTGGAGTGTTATTGCCAGCATTGAAGCTGTGGAGCCCCTTCTAGCTAACAGATAGCATTCAGATACTCAGCAAAACAGGTTACGGCCTGAAATTGAACCATTCTTACAATTTTTCAGTAATAAACTTTGATCAAGCTTTACAGATATTTAAAACAGACATTTCAATTGGCAACGTAAGCTATGCAGAGAATTATTTCTACGTCAGCAGTCTGCTGTAGTTTATAAATAAAATTAAGTAGTTTGCGTTAGCGAGCTAATTAGACAGTGAAAGCAGAACAACCTAGTTCTTAAGTCTCTACTTAACGTTAAGTGCAGCATACGTGGAACACTGGAACTGGAGAACCGACTTGGTACAAATAATGAGTAAGGCATTTATAATTATAGAACAACTAATAAGCTGGGCGTAATGATCCGAGGCCCTGCTGCAGTGCTAGAAGCTGCACAAGCTTCTGCTCAGAGGCTTCATGAAACGCAAACAGCTGATCTATCGCAACATTGGCATTAAAGCTAGGACTGGAACGAGGCCATTTTAACCTCTGAAACCCTAAACACAGTCCAGAACAGAAGAGCACCTCACAACACAGCTAAAAAAAAAACAAACAGTGATTTAAAAGGAAATTTTTCTTGACTCCGCTGCCACCAGTGGCTCCAGCCTACCGGCAGGAACACCAGAAAAAGTTTCAGTGGCTTCTCAGCTGAATGGGAGGTGGTCCCTTGAGGAGTAAGCTTACGGCTGCCTTACCTCTGCTGCTCCTCACGCTCCTCTGCTCAAAGCAGCTGCAGGCAGTACTACAAACTAGCAACACAGCAATGCCTGACAGAACTTTCACACTTATGGATTAATTGGGATAGGAGATGTTTAAAGGAAAAAAAGGCCCAATTACTTGTTATCTTGCCTAAAAATTAAGGCAACTATTCTGAAAATAAATAAATCAGATTTAGTTTTGCAGCAGTCATTAGTTCTGTTCACCTTACCTGTTAGAATCTCATAACCTGATCTTTGGTACTTGTCCCTATTTCTCATAGGGAGAAACCCTTATGAATAAAGTGACAGAAGTTTTAACCAAAAGTAGATGCACCCCCTCTTGCAATTTGTTCTCTGCAGGTATCTGAAAAATAATATTTCTCCTCCTTGCCCAGTTGCCCTGTGTTCACACTCACAAAGACAGAACTGACACTAAAACAAATCCATCTTTTAAATTAATGCATGCAAGTTTTTGTGGATGATACTGCAGCACTAATCAGCAGTTTCTTCTACTTTGTTTCTTAATTGGCTTTGCCAAATATAAATACAATTTTTGGAAGAGGTCAGTTCCATCAAAGAGATTGCTTTCAGGCATTCAGTCATTTGCAGTAGTTCTCTAAAATCAGCTTGCAAATGGGTTGCAGAGAGTAAGCTAATTTCATACCAGTTATTAGATGACAGTCTAAACTTGCACAGTACATAAAAGGAAGCTTACTTTTATGTAAACTGGTTACTGTAAACTCAAGGAATCTCCAATGCTTCACTAAGTCCAAAGGGAGTTAGAAAATGTCTGACTAAGTAGCTAACTATATGACTGTAGCTTTGCCACTCTTATCTTCTGGAAGCACATGAAGTACTTGCAGATCTCAACTGACCCAGTCTTACTGACTGTAACATTAATGAGACCTAATCAACTGTACCAAGTACTTTGTCCCCTCTCTGACCAGCCAGAGACTTGAAAGAGACAATTTGACAGAGAAACCATTTAAATCTCAAACATAGAAACATGTTGTGAAGATCTAGTTATTGTCTCTTGTTTTTTTTTTTTCATTCTGTATATTCACATAAAAAATCTCCCAAACCCATAAAAATTATCCGAAGTCGAGTATTCTAAACTGGGTGATCAAGAGCACTTTATGTTCTTCCAAGGTGAAATTAAAGGCTTTGTACCCGCCAGGACCCAAGCTCAGGCGCAGTGTTTCTCTTGCAGCAGTTTGATGCAGCTTAATGGTGCAATCAGCTCTGGAGCAGATACAAAGAAGGGCAACAGGGCTTTTGAAGGGCTTGGAGAATGTGCCCTACAAGGAGCAACTGAAGGAACTGGGGCTGTTCAGTCTGGGGAAAAGGAGGCTGAGGGGAGACACTGCTCTCTTCCAATACCTGCAAGGTGCTTACAGCAGAGCAGGGCTGGTCTCTTACTGGTCACAGGTGATGAGAGGAAATGGCCTCAAGTTGCACCAGGGGAGGTTTAGATATCAGGAAAAGCTTCTCTACATTAAGGGTTGTTAAGCACTGCAATGGGCTGCCCAGGGAGAGGGATGAGTCACCATCCCGGATGTGCTTAAAAACCGTCTGGAGGTGGTGCTCAGGGACGTGGTTTAGTGGAGGACTGTTGGAGTTCTGGTTAGGTTGTGGCTGAATTCGGTGATCATTGATGTCTTTTCCAACCTGAGCAATTCTGTGATTCTACAATGGAAACCACAGAGCCTCATGCTAAGATTTTGGCAGGTAAGTAGTAAAGGAAAACGATTTTCAGGGAGGTGACTGAAAAACATTTGCTTCTGTATTTTGAGCCAGACAGAAAAAAACACCACCTAGTCTGTCCCTCTCTGCATGCAGTAACCATGCAAAACAGCTATCACTGTACTTGTTACACTGAGTGCTATCCTGCAACTGCAGCTCCTGCATTGACATGCACAATCACCTGTTGTCTGTAGAGGCACCGTGGTAGATCTTCTAAATAGAACACAAGATTGTAAAGCAAGTTTGCAGTAAAACAATACATAATAGCTTAGCAACACAGAATTGTTGTAGAAGAGTAACGGGAACCTTTGTGGGCTATCTAGTCCAAAAATCACATTCAAAGCAGAGCTGACTTCAAAGTCAAATCAAGTTACTCAGGACCTTAATAACCTTCTGTATAAAATACACTGTTAAGGTTTAACAACCCAAACTAAATTTTTTTAATGGGAAATGTGCAACTTATCTGCCCAAATACAAGACTTGTACCTGGAGAAGTAATTCTTCATTTTGACTGTTTAATGCATGGCCTGGGGCTGTGTAATCTCTGTGTAAGATGAGGGAAATGAAAATAGTGTCACATTCAGGAATCAAACACCTGTTACTTGGTAGTAAAGTAAGCTCAGGGTTCAAGACACGTTAACTTGATGCAGAGGATTGCTCAAAACCAACTGCCGCATGCCCAAATGCCAGCTCCTGAAAACCACGCAGCTCATCCATACCCTTTATGTAAACGTGGCTGTCTTCCTTCAAACAGAGGAACACAGAATTGAGAGTATCAAAAGTCCTTAGCTGTGCTGTAAGGTTATCTGCAAATCATCTCCTTTCTGCTGGATTCAGCAATGCTGGAAATCAACTGGGGGTTGCATTGCACTACAGAGAGCAGGTCAGCAAGGTTCTCCTCTCAGCTTTTTGCTCTCCTGGCTACAAGAGTAGGTCTGCAGGACCAGCACACAGCATCAGTGCTGCCAAACAAGGCTGTAAGAGCACCGTTAGCAGTGGTGCAACCTCATGTTGAAAAATTCTGGAAGAAATTGTTCTTCATGCTGCACGTTTAACAGTTCTTTTGGACAAGCATTGCCCTTAGTGGGGAGTTGGAGAGAATCCAGCGTAATGCACAAAGGCACAGGATGAGCCAACATTGAATGTAATTTTATTTTTTCCAATGAAACAGGGTGCTGGAAAGTGAAGATGGAAGGAAAGGATACTTAGTCTATCCCACCAGCAAGAACCATGGTTCCAGTCAAAAGGGGAGGAAGGCATCATTGAAAGGAAACGGCAGGAGGATTGACTACATGCTTTATACAGAAGAAGGTCTCTACCTGGAATGGAAAGTGGTGAGTTTCACAGTTAACAAAGAAGAGCCACAGCTCACACAACAGACTTGTCTGGATGGCGCTGCAGCCCCTTCAGCCTGAGTCCCAGCTTACATTCCCAGAAAAACACAGTGCTTTGGTATCTTCTACATTAATGCAAGTACTGAGTTTGTAAGCCTACTAGATACATTTTAGATGGAGCTGTAGGAACACTTGACCATATGCTGCCCTCCAAAATAAACAGTAAACCTTGTTTCCATTCCGTAAACTTTTGCCAGACAAAACGTTCTGGCTGATGCTTCCCCTACCAACAATCTGAATATTCTTTAATCTTTTAAAGTGTCTGGATGTGCTTTTATTATGCTTATGAAAATTTACAAGTCTGTGATACAAATGCAGGAGCTGACGTGGAGTAACTAGAATGAGAACGTGCAGTGCACTGTCTGCTCCCTCACAGGGGACCTTGCCTTAAACAGAACTCCAGGATGAAAATGACAAACTAGTTCACACTTATTCTGTATAACCCATCGCAATTACCAGAAGAGCAGGTAATCAAGCAATTCAGCATAGCTCAGCAGATGATAACTCCATCCATCTGCACACTCCACAGGCACGGCTGCTGAGCAGCTAACTTTTTTTAAGGCTTTCCATTTCAAATGCAAAAATGCCCACAGAGCATCTGTATGATAAACCCATCTTCCATTCACACAATCAGCGTGTCAAGCCAACATTTGAATGGATTTGACCCAGATTATGCCTCTGATAAGATTCATGCTGACTGCATAAAGAAATACGTGGCCATGAAGAGGCTACGGACTGCTTCCCCTTAGGACACGCTAGTTTACGCTGGCCAAAAAGCTCCTGCAGAGCTGCATCTCTCTGCTTTCTGCAAGCCATTTCAGAGTACTGGCGAAGTTAGTAGCTAGCCTACAGGAGGGGACAGCTGAATTGGGTTAAGAGAACATTAAGACTGTTAATATTCAGCTTTCAGAAGCTGGGAAGCAAGCAGTCTTTCATACAGAAATTTAATTTGATTGTACAACACTTTGCTAGGACAAAGGCTGGAACTGATACACAAGGAGCAGGGCCCTGACCACCTCATGTTCGCATGAAGCTTAGAATCTCAGCCTAACAAAGTCAGCCTTTCAGCTGTACGCCATGCCCACGGCAGTACAACCTGCCCTTCCAAGAGAGATTTCCTTACAGGTAAGGATTACCTACCACAGCATTACAGATAAGCCTATTGGGAATAACAGTGGTTTACTATAAGCAGAAAGAAAAGGGTACAGCTATAGCCCAAGCGGTGCTCCTGGTTAACTGCATCACTGACGTGCCGTGTGCGACAGAGCACTGATTTACCATCAGTTCCAGCCAATGCCAGACTAGTCCCATACATCTACTAATACTGTAAGGCAGCCAAAAGCTAAAGAGTGGCTAGAAGATGCATCTTAGTGCATGATATAGCAGATAAATTTTCAAATTTCCTCTTTCTTGCTTTTATTTCCACCTGCAGGAAGTAGAAGAGTTCAGCTTTATTACCCAGCTAGCAGGCTTGACAGATCACCTACCAGTAGCAATGCGTCTCATGGTGTCTACAGGAGAAGATGACCCTTAAAACTTACCAGCTTGGAGAGATTAGAAGAAGGAAATGTTAACGATATTAAGAAAATATCACAAGATTGGAATGAACTATTCTGGTGCCACGTTAGGAAAAATGACCAGACCTGACCCAGGCTACTCCCCAGAACGTACCAACAATGGAGTATAAAAAAAGGGAAGAAATTGAAGGCTGTGGCCAAAAGCCACTGTCACAAGTTGCTCAGGCAACAGGGCAGGCCTGTACTACAATGTTTTCACTGTGGACCGAATGGAACTAAGATGGAAGTCCTAACTCCTTCTGAACCAGTGCCATTCTTACTAAAACATGTTTTTATACTAATATATAGCACAATTTAGTTTGTAATTAGTCTGTGGGTTAGTGCTGCTCAATGGTTTTTTGCTTAATTTCTTTGTATAACTAAGAAGCTAAAGCTTTTTTTCTTTTCTTTAGCCTGTTGAAGTTGTAGTAGCGTGCTTGCATCAGTAGCATGCGCCCGCACTGCATGCCACTCTGAGATAAACTAGTAAGATACCATGGGGAATATCAGAATGGAAGTTAATTCAAAAATCAGATACCAGCCAAAACAAGGCATTCTGGGACTAGCAAACCCTTCCATCATTACAGAAAGATATTAAAGCAAACAAAGGAAAACTCTGTTCTATTTGAAAACCAATATTATCCTCTCTCTTTTAAGGATATTTGTAACGAAAAGTAGAATTAAGACATTAAGACATTTTATCACCCTTCTTCCAGCTGCGTTGCCACTGGAACTGTTAAGTGTTTTGTCTGAATAATGACTCCAGAATTGGGCCTTTGCTTTTCTAACCACAAGTCATTCCCTTAAGAAGAAATACGGTTCCCCTGTAATGTTTTTTTTCTCTTATCCACGTGGGGCAGTTCTGAATTATGGTATGGGATGATGTATGTATTACAGTAGAGTGAATAGATTCCTGCAGTACCATTGGGAACACCAGAGCCAACATTCTGCCTTAGCTAGGAAGAGTGAATGGGAAATAGCTTGTAAAATGCATGTTAGATATAGAGTTAACGTAAATGACGTTCTGGGGGAAAGTATAGAACAGTGTTTAACCAATAAGGCAGGATTGACTTCATTCTCCAAAGGAATCAGTACACTTGAAGGGAAAGCACAGCACAGGTAGCTACAGAACTGAACTGTGACTCAGCACTCAGCAATGACTGCCTTTGAGCTGAGCCTAGAAGCAGTCTGTGAGACACAGCCCATTTGTTACACACTCGCAGACTTCCAGTAGGGGTTTTACAGTAAAATTCATATATTCTTCCCACTGCAGCTCCTTAAATGTGGGGCCGCCCCCAGTTTGCCATCTTATCCCAATGACCTGACCTGCTCAGACTCTATAACTTAATTTAATTAAAAAAAAAGAAAAAAAGAAAAAAAAAAGCTGAGAGTCAGGTCCATAGAGATTCCAATTCAAAAGGGTTTGTGTTGATAGAAAAATGAAACCCCTTGTGTTTTAACCAATACTTAGTTTCTTCTGCTTAATTCCTCTCCAATATTTGAGGTCTTACTTCTATATTGCAAGTTCCCCATGTTGAGGAGAATTAGTCTAATACTAACTCCATTAAATAAACTCTTCTTTCAGTTATGCTGGCCACAAACTCCTAATGATCTTGTTATGGTTTAGTTTATACCTGCTAGGAATCAGCTTGAGCTAAATCAAAAGAAATTAGACTTAAATTAGAAATCCTAGTCTGCAGAGCCTCTTGTACTGGCTTAATTAACTACAGTAAACAACTGAACTTATATTTAGATCAGCCTGATTTTGCAAGTTGCAGACTCTTCGTAGTCACGGAAGTACTGCTCAGACAGCACTGGCTCATTCCCAGGAGGCTGTAGGCCCCTGCTCACGCTCTCCCAGGGCCCCTCTACTACTGACGTGTCCTACGCCTCATTCCCAGTCCTGGCCTCCCTTCAGCAGAGACTGCCTCTTGCAAGTGTACTGTGCCAAACCATGCGGTACTCTGCAAAGTAACCCATGGGGACTCAAAAAATGGATCCAGACTCAATTCCCCCTTTTGATAAAATTAGGAATTCAAGTTTACAGCATCAGAGACTTCAGTGTACTGTCCCAGTGCACCACCAGTTTCCCACTTTGTACATTTCTCTTTATACAGAGGGTGCACGTAAGTGCAATGTGTTTTTCTGGTTTCTTATCTTTCCATCCAATTCAGAAAGACTTGTACCTGAAATAATGCTTTTAATCCTATTTTCTACCTTGCTTGTATTTTATGAACCTTTTTAAAAAAGAAAAAAAAAATACAAACAGTATCAGTAGCAATTTGTGTGCTGTCCAGCAGCTATTTCTCAGTAGTAAGATTAAATATAAGGTACGGTATTTTTAATAGCTTTCCTAACAATGTAAATTACAATTTGATATCCATTTCGCTAAGTGTCAGTTGCAGGAGCTGAATTTGACACTGTGTGGGACATAGTCATAAACTACTGCCAAACAATCTTTCATTATTTACAGTAAAACCAACTTTGTCTAAATTACTTCAAAATTAGTTCAACAGCTTTGTGCTGACCAAAAATGAGGCACTTTTGTCAACTTTTTGAAATATGTTGAGAAATATTTTTTCAAATTCGAAGTAAACTGTTTTAGATTTTGATGTTCTTAGCTTTTCAGTGATCAGTACATGGATAGATGTAAAGCATTCTCTTTAAACAGTGCACACGCATTTAACCAGTCTAAGTAGTTCTTAACTAATTTACTGTCTTAAGGATCTACCTTTGCAAGAGACTGATGCTGGGAGGTACAGCTGTGTGGCACCACTGTACAGATGCTCCTTGCTTTTTTTGCATTGATCCTGTGCCTTCTGATGCCTTGATAATCTTGCAGAAGTCAGAGAGCATATGTACCGGTAAACTGTACAGAAACTTGCTTTTCCAGAAGAGCAACATCCTGGGTAGAAAACAGTTCAGCTACACTACTACTACTCTTCCATACCCTGTCTCACAAAGAACCGTTCCGACAATGTCAGTACTGGCAGGATATCAATCATGACAAGCCTTAGACGTAACAGCATATTCACATGAAAAATAAAAAAGGGCAGAGTATTCCCAGGAAATTGAACCCTGGATAGCTTTTTTAGATGTCAATCCTACTTTGCTGAAGGACGGCACGACAATTTATTAGTAGGATGTTATTAATAAGAAATTTGAGTTAAGCTTAATCTACTGTTGCTTACCCCACTTTGTACAGGAGTTTCAGATATCATCAAGAAGTGGGTGATAATGCTATTCTTGGTTTAATAACTGCCACTCAACATGGCTACTGTAGATGATGTGTCATCTGTTTTTATAAAAGCTAGATAACATCTTCTGTTTCTCATGTTCAATTTGCATTTCACAATAGCAGTTCTAGAACAAGTGAACAAAAGACACAAATGAGGACAGCTGAAAACTATGAACTTCCAGAAGATTCAAGGATGTCAGGTCCTTATAAAGTCAGTACCTTTAGATCACTTCAGGAACACAACCTACAGAGAACAGAATGTAGCTTCTCAGGCACGTTCAGAGCCAGTTCCTCTGTGCACTGTTTGGCGGCCTGAAAGGGACACACGAGCCACCTGCTTTCCACCACAGCTCAGCCACTGAGGCGAGGGTCGTAATGCTTCATGCTACGTGAGAAAGTGTTTACCAAATAGTTACAGTAGTGGCCAGCTAGCTCTATTGTCATTGCCAACTGGATGCTTAATTGAAGCAGTCCAAAGCAGCTTAACAAACTGTGACACAATGGCTCCGAGGGGAGCCTGCAGCCTTCTGAGGTATGGCCAGCTTAGAGAAACTCTGGAGGAAGCCATCTTGTCTAATGAGTTGACTTGTCTTGTGCAAGAATTATTACAAGGTTTTGTTCCAGAAGCACTCTCAGCTAGTCAGGCTAGAGCTCAGTCCTGCTTGCTGGATAAGACAGTAGGGTTTAAGGAACTTACAAATCCATTATTTTTATTTTTTAAATAGCCTTTGTTTGGTGGTCCAGATGAAGCAGATCTGACTGTCTCCAGTTTGGTCTCTGAGCTACCCTCAGATCACATCGGTGTCAGCACATATCATCAGCTCAGAAGTGAAGCATTTTCACCTCCTCCTGGCACCGCAGGATGAGAACAGAAATACCTACAATTTTGAGCACTTTGAAAAACTCCCAATTTTACCATTCATTATTATGAGGTTCAAATTCTTACTGAAGGTCTCGTTTTTCCATGCCATCTTGTTTTAAATACAATCTCGATGATTTTAAAATCTTGTATTATTGCTGAGGTTTAGAATCCTGTAAGAATAACAACCTTTTTTTATTTCAATAATTTTTTCGGTATTGTATCCTTCTGGGACCTAACGTTTTTATATGGTAAGCACACACCTTCTGACATTTTGTTATAACTGTATTAAAAAATAAAAAATTAAATATTTTCATTGGTTTCTTTGCCTGTAAGAAAACCACAACCTTTGACCTGGTAAGAACAAGGTATTTTGAACAACAGGGAGAGGTTTTTTTTGTCTTTTATTGGTGCTGAAAGGAATTACTGGTTGATGCAGACAAGATAATAAAATTTCAAGGCTCAAATGTTTCTTTGCAGTCCCCTTCTTCTGGTTTTGTGGTGTAGGGTCTGATATCATTAACAAAAGTTTCACTGTTAAGATGTAGCTCCTTAATTAAACACTTGCCTGCTGTCTCATTGGAGGATCAAGTGCAGCGCCATTGCGTTGTGCCCATTTCAGTGAGTCTGCAGACAATAAAGGCTGAGAGATCCGAGTGCTTTGAATTCAACAGCCTGGCTTCTACTGCTTACACACCTCCCTGCACAGAAACCCTGCTCAGTTTCAAGGCCTGCAGCGTTCACACAAGCATGCACTTCACCTGCTGCAGGCTGCAGAACTCTGCGCCTCATCCCAAGTCCACACCTTCAGTTTGGGATATTCATACTGCATTGCACTCTGCTAGCATTTTATAGATGAACGCAACAACAGTTTATTACGCAGCTGTGCATCACAGAATGGCCAGGGTTGGAAGAGACCTCGGGGATCATGAAGCTCCAGCCCCATGCCATATGCAGGGCCACCAACCTCCACATTTCATAGCAGCCCAGGCTGCCTAGGGCCCCATCCAACTCGGCCTTGCACACCTCCAGGGATGGACGGGGCATCCACAGCCTCTCTGGGCAGCACCTTGGTATCTCAACAGTTTCCCAGTCCCTGAACTGAAAGCAGGTTTGATCTGTATACTGTACAGTCAGAACAACTTTAAAAACAGAAAAAGAAGAACACAACACACATACGTCCATAGATTTCACAGAAGAACGTCAAGGGAAAATGATCCATTTCG